TCGATTGCTCAGTGATCTGAGGGCTGGCTTAGCTAGCCAGTACCCGATTGTTGGGTTCGATTCCCACTCGAGTCATGTATATTTTTCGAACGAACCTTCGGCAGAGAAACATAAGCAGAAACGAGCCTTATTTATCATAGTGATAATTTAATTTAATTTTCTGCCTGATTAGTATCGAATAATTTTTTCAATCACCATTACTACTTCACATTGAAATCCCCATGGCTTCGAAGCAAACTGGTTGGTCCATCTCCGAAGAAGCCACCGCTTTAGGCTTTATGCTGGTTGTATGCTTCATTCTCCTTCAGGTTTGTTTATTTCACGTGTTGATCTTACATGAATGACTCGATATTTAAAATATGAAATGCTTTCCTATACAGATGAAGCACTGGTTCAACTTTCGCAGCACAGACAGCTGGTATCGATCGATGCCTTTCGATATTCGTGAAACATTCTCATTGGGCGCTCTCCGCAAGGCTACCTTCTTCGGAAGGTACTTTTCCAAGAAATATGGTCCAATTTATCGTCTCCATTCTATTTTTGAAACAGTCGGGTAAATTACGCTCGGTTGTTCGTTTTCTTTTCATAGTTCATCTTTGAATTTACTACTGCAGAATTTTGGCATCGAGCGATCTTGCAGCCGAATTTTACAAGCATTCGCGAACACTTCAAAGAAGTCCTGAAGTTTCTTTGCTAGGTCAGGTATCGGATACTGTCATGGGAAAGTGTATGGCGGCACTTTATGGGAAAGAATGGCAATTATGCCGGACTGCCTTCAAGACAACATTTCTCACAAAAGCAGTGCAAGACTGCTTCGAAATGATCCAGAGAGAAACAGCCAAGTGGCAGTCAAAGTACGTGGCAAATGGCGCCATTCTAGATGTTCAACGAAGCAAAATCGACGAACTGCCGCTGAGGATTCTAGCACACGTTGTGTATGGCGATAATATCACGGACGAGGAAGTAGAGCAAGTATTGGTGTTCGCCCGAGAACATGGGGCCATTATGGATGTATCGATGAATATCCTAGAAAACCTGCCAGTGTACAAATCACTGCCCTGGAGTTTGAACGCTCGCTCGAAGAAGTTTCGTGCACAATGGCAGCTTTTCAACATGGAAAAACTGAAGAAAGCATTAAGCACGAGTGGTCAAGAACGAATCGATGTCTTCTCGATAGCGGCAAAGTATTTTCTCCAACAGGAAGGTGACTTTGACTCAAACATAGCTATGGTTTGTTATAGGCTTGAAGTTCTGAAAATAGATTTATTTCGTAGCGAAATTTCATTTCTAGTTCTTTGATACAATCGATGAGATTTTGCTCCTGAACATCGATGTAACGTATGTTGCACTGATGAACATGCTGGTTTTTGTAGCGTCGAACGAAAGCGTTATGGCCACACTCCGAAATGAAATCAAGAATTCGGCTCCGCTCAATAGCAAGATCGAATATGACACTCTATCTAAACTGCCATATTTGAATGCTGTTTTCAATGAATCCGTTAGACTGAGACCACCTTTGTCACTTAGTTTTCCAGAACGTACGACTGAACCCATGCTACTGGGCGGTTATCGCATTCCAGCCGGAACGGCCATCATGATCGATGCTGATTCCATTAACCACGATCCTCAAGTATGGAAGAATCCAGACGATTTCGATCCGAATCGTTTTCTTGACAACAAACAGTCTGGTATCGAATTTCAGTACTTCAAGTATGGTCTAAATCGTAATCGTCGATGCTTGGGCTTTCGCTACGCTGAGGCCATCGTTAAGCAGGTCAGCTGGGACATTTTATCTTTGGCGAAGATTGACTTTGCTGACGACCAGGAACCTAAAGAAGCAATCAGAAAATGGTCCAGCCGTGTCAGAGACAAGGGGCTGCCATTTTTTACGCCATATTCAAACTTCCCTCAACTCAAATTGACATTCGATTTTGGCGATGTGGCGTCCTTAGACTTAGCTCCGGTTTTTCGTATTGACGATGGGAAATCGGCACCTTGTTTTATCGCCGGGGAGAAAGCCTTACGAGAAAAGGGCAGCGTATTGTTTGGCATGAGTTTCGGCAACAACTACTATTCTGAAGACGTCATCAAGTCGCTCATACCGTTTCTTGGCAGCCGATTCAGTCGCATCTTTATCGATGTTCCTGATGAGTGGACTAAACACACGTACACTGCATTGGGCTATTCCGATAGTGATGCTAAGAAAAAGTTGAGAAATCTTACTACTCGCTTGCGCAAACGCTGCCAATTGGGCGTCGAAATAGCCACCCAGTCTGGTATAGCACCACGTGAAAATTTCATCTTCATGAATTGGGGCACACATGTTGAAACCTCGAAAACCTACCAGAATGCTCTGGCGGAAATTAAAATGGCTTACCAGCAAGATGATGTATTTAGAGGCGATTGTAACGCGACGACTGCTGAGGTTCTGCGGTCTCAAGGTCGAAGCCGTGGCTGGGACAACAAATCATCGGTAGAGTTGGCGGCGGCAATCGAAATCGCTGTCAACTATGTTCTAATGGAATTAGCCGAAGCAGTGGCGTTTGGAGATATTGCTTCTCTTCTAACAAACGGTGGCCATGCTCCAGACACGCCGGCTGTCATGGTCTATCATCGACGTTGGCCAGTTTTGGAGAAGTTCTTGAACTGCGAATATGAAAATGAAATTTGCAAGCAGCTGGTGAAGAAGCTTGCTTTCAATTTTGGCTTTCTCATTTTTGAAGCAAGACCAGTTAAATGTTCGAGTCCTGAAGAGTTTGCTTGTGACGGAAGCGAAGAGGGCACCGCAAAAGTCACTAATTAACACTTCCCATAAATCAAGAGGTGTGAGTTCACAAATATATACGTTAGATTCAAAGTTATATACGACTGGTTTCGACTCTTGCTAAAGGAGTCATCATCAAGTACAATTTAGAATCTAAAACTACATTCTTCAGAAGTTAATAAATCAATAAATAAATTATCCAAATTAAACTAATAATAATTATAATCCTAATATAGGAGTTCCATTACTCAAAAAAGTAGAATAATCTTATTAATTCGACGGATTCTGTTTATCATAGTCGATTAACTAATCAATATCGTAGTCCAATTGGTGGGTGAGTTCACAAACGTTAAAAGTTAGATTCAAAGCTACACACGACCGGTTTCGACTCTTGCTTAAGGAGTCATCATCGAGTACAATGTAGAATCTAAAACTACATTATTCATATAATAATAAATCAATAAATAGCCGTATCCAAATCGAAAATAATTCAAATCGAAATTTTCAATAGACGGGTATCTATATAAATTAGAAATCTAGAATCTGCAAAAGAATATTCAAATTGATCTTATTCGATATAGCTCGCTTCGTGAGGGTGTGGGTGTGGGTGTGAATCTAGTCGTATAGATCTTCTCTTCTTTAATACACCCACACGGGACGAAACAATTTCGTAGCAGTATCCCGGACACCTGGTAATTCGTCGGAGTGTTCGGAATTGATTTTTGCCTTTAAAAACAATAACCGGGAGTGCATAACAAGTGTTGGTGAGGATATCGTAATTAAAAAAAATACAGGGAAATTGGAATGAAAGTTGTCCACATTTCATTCCGAACACCCTGCTTGCTTTAAATTTTTGTCATTTCGCAGAGTATTTATGTTTTTATGTCGGGAAATCGTCACGAACATCTCGTCAGGCAAATCGTAATGAAAAGTTGGTGTGAAATGTCTCTTTCTCGCCCACATTCACACCCAAAGATTATGAATGTTTTTAAAGCAGAAAATTCAAATGTCTTTGAAATTCAAATTTTGGGCTCGAAGAACTTTTCAAGTAATGGAAATAGGATCATCAGATATAATCTATAACAAAAAATAATATTGTATTAATACCCACGAAAAAAATTTCACTGAAATCTGCGTTTGAACGCGTTCTTATTTTTTGTTCACATGTTTTCGCTAGACTTAAAACACACTTTTTTGAACGCACTGAAACGCTTTCTTTTCGATGGATAACGCAAAAATGTAATTACGATAGCTTTACGGAGAGTGCATTTTTCCAGAACCGAAACGATCGTTCTTTGAGCGCGTTTCTATTATTTTTTTCCATTCCGGTGTAGAACAGATTCGAACTAGGAACTTTCGATTAGATTTACCTGATACTATTGAGTTAAACTTACTGATATCAGAATAGAAATGCAATGTCTATATGTATTGAATTGAAGGATACATTTTTAATTCATTTATTTTAAACTCAAAGTAAATTTAAATATTTCTATACAAAAAAATTTAATTATTAAAAAAAAACATTTTTGGAGTCATTTTTTGGGGTCTAATAGTGTTTTTAAATATGAATGGCTCAATCCTAGTATTTTCACAATATTAATCGTGACTTTTTCAGTGATTTTTGCTTTCAGCTGTTTCAATATTCTAATTTTCGATATAGTAGGAAATTAGCGACTCATTTAGTTACATTTTCATTTGATGAAATACTGAAGAAAAATTCTAAATAGCAATTAAGTAAAAATATTTCAGTTATCAGGAAGGGAACAAAGAGNCGATATACTAGGAAATTAGCGACCCATTTAGTTACATTTTCGTTTGATGAAATACTGAAGAAAAATTCTAAATGGCAATTAAGTATAAATGTTTCAGTTATCAGGAGGGAAACAAAAAGCACTAGGCTTTTATGTAAACATTGTATAGTTTAAAATATAGATTAAAATATGTATTCTCAAGTGTCTACAAGAAAAGTCTTTTTTTAAGAAAACAACTCACTGAGAGGCAGCGCAAATAAAATGATATAAATGAGTAGAAAATAAAATGCTTTTCAACGATGTTTTAAAGTCGTATTTTAAGTTGAAAAAACTCGTTGTAAATAAAAAAGGATGCATTTCAACGTGTTATATTTACAAAGCCATGCGTTTAAATGCGTTAGAGAGAGAAAACGATGCGCTAAACCGCTAAAGCAGCGATTTCTTCTAAAAGTTTGCGTTAAAACGCTGTTTCATATGATTTATTTTTTCGTGGGTAACCTTCAAGCTTCAACTTTACACCGTCAAATTTCAATTTGCTACTATTCAGTTATTCGATTACTAAAGTTTCCCATTTATATCCATTGATTTTTCATAATTTTGAACCATAAAGTGTAACCGACGCATTTAGACATCCCCTATGTGTATCTTCTTTACGTATCCGACTAACGCCATAGATGAAACCGGTCTACTTGTAAAATCAGGCCTACCCGTAAAAATCCGGTGTGCTAATAAAATAACTGTCTATCGACAATTGAGCAGTTGTCAAAATAATATACTATGTCACAATCAACTTCCGCGTGTCTGTAACTAATATCATGTTCTACAATTTGGAGTACAACGGACTAGGGGTGCATCAGCTCAAGCTCAAAAGTTCAGCTGAGCTGAGCGAAACAGCTGCTCGAACGTTCATTTCGGTAGGAGTGGATTGGTTTTAACAGCTCCTTTCAAAAGAGCTGATCTGATCGAACAACTCTCATTCCTGAACTGGACTTTTTGAACAGCTCCTTTCAAACAAGTTGATGTGATCGAACAGCTTTCATTCCTGAACTGAACATTTTGAACAGTTCTCTCCAACGGGAAAAGGACTCATTCGGGCATTCCTAGCCATTCGAATGGCTCGAAATGAGGTTTTCCCCCTTGGCTCTCTCTCTCTCTCTCTCTCTCTCTCTCTCAAGAACTTATTGACATTATGACAAAAATACTATGCAAAATCTTTCTGAATTCACTTTAAATAACATATACAATTTTTCAAGGGCCATCTTCAGAAGTTCTTCATAACTTTCCAAAGATTACTAAAAGATAGTAAGTACAATTTTTCGAGAGCTACTTACTATTAGTAACTCTAACTATCTATCATTTGTTCAGAAGTGATGCTTACAGGTTTTTCATCGCTGTCTGGAAGTGGTATTCAAAGCATTTATGAGGCACAATGTAATACGAATGTCGAAGTGTATGGACAGAAATTCGCAATCTCTGTTCTCAGCAGGACAGACATGGTTAGCAACGAATTGTCATAGACGTAGCAGATATGTTCAGTTTTCTTTAAGAGACAACGAAAATTTGAAAGAAGCAACACGTGCGCAACTATATCGATATATGAAACAAATCATTCATTTAGTTTAAGGGAGACACAAACAAATTTTGGGTAGCATTTTCGACCTAATGCCAATCAGTTCAGTTTAGGAACGAGAGCTGTTCGATCAAATTAGCTCTTGTGAAAGGAACTGTTGAAAATAATCAGCTCCTACCGAAATGAACGTTCGAACAGTTCCTTCGCTTAGAGCTAAAGCTGAACTTGTGCACCCCTACAACGGACAACGACCATGCTAACATTGAAATCAGTAAGCATATTTAAGCTTGTGGTGATGGTCGATATATTAACACTACTGTTAGATTTTGTCAGTAGAAATGCTACCGAATGATAGAAAAAAAGGATCATCACCATAGGTTTCTCAGGTGTTCACTAGCTTCACCGATCTTAAGGATAATGCTAAAAATTAGAGTGTATTTCTAAACTCCACTGAGAGATCTCTTAACTATTGCATGATAGTATGCCATATGTGGTCTTCTGTGGAAGTGTCATCTCGATGGAGATTTTACATGTGTGGATGACAATATGTTTTCCTTACATGACAACCATGCATTGCTTTTTTCAAATATTTTGGCTTGAATACAAGTTCGACCAATACCAACGTTGCATTAGTGTTCATGATGAAAGTGGGAAAATGGAAAAACTAAGACCGGTACCAGACCGGCAATAGAGCGATAGCGTACCGAACAGACCGATTCCACCTATTACTAGCGCTACACTCACACTACAAATCCCCCATATGTGTGTTTTCATCACATCGACATTAGTAATCTGCAGTGTACGTTTCCATAACATGTCCGCCTAACTTTACATCCACAATTATAAAGGTATTATTTCTGCGCACTTTGGTTACACCATCAATGAGAGGCATGCGTTTCAACCATTGTCTTTGACGAGATGGATATGCTATTGTCTAGTACCCTTATGTTTCTGGTATATCTGATATGTCAAGCACTTATACATTTTTACAGTTTCCGTCGACATTTATGTCAGTCAACATGTGTTTGAAAGTTGGAAGTTGAAACTCTAAACTCAAAGTTTCAGCTCAATTCAGGTTTCAAGTTCGACATTAATGATGCTTCGCACGTGGACTGAAGTTCATTAATCAAAAGCTTATATTTCTCAGATCTTTAGCTATAATGCACCCATACGCTGAATGAAAATAAGATGTTCTTTCCAGTCCAACTGGTTAGGATATCTCCCTGAATAATAGAATGTGTTGGTACTTTTTATACGCATGGGCTCATTTTCTTCAATCCATCACATAATACCAGTGACATAGCTGTCTTGTGAAACACGATCTGAAAGTAGTGTTGAAGTATATTGGATAGAAATTTGAACCCACTCACCCCCACAGACTGTGACAGCGAAATCAATTAATTAGCTAATTGGTTAATTAATTAATTAATTAATTTCTCTATCACGGTCTGTGATGGTCTCTACCAACTTCATAGATCATAATGAATACCGTGACAGAGAAGCTCCACAGATCATCACAGAAAATGACCGAAAGGCTCCATATATGATTCGAGACAGTAGTAAAAAAGCTGCAAAGACTCGCAGGTCGTGGTAGACTGGTTCCAGCAAAGGAGTTGCATCGTGTTTCACATTTTAATCCCACAGGGATTGCGGTAACAGATTTTTGACGTTATACGTACATTAATTGAAACATATAGTGAT